ATATATATATATATATAATAATACATATTATATAACATAGACTTCAGCGACAGAGGGCATTTAAAAATATAATATACTGTTCATGTTTTCATTAAATGGATCTTTTACTTGGCATAAATTATTATGGATTTAATATAAGAGAAATAATGAAAAATTCTGCTCAATATGTTGTGTAATTGTGAATATTGAAGAAATATTGAACTATAGACCTAGAGATACTTTATCACAAATCTCAAAGATATTATATCAGTTATGTAATATTGATTTAATTACAGATATATTGTATAAAGAAAAAAAGATAATCACAAATCAGTTCTCATATTGAGTTTGGAAACAGATACAGTTGTTAAAATTAAACGTGTTCGCTTCTGTAAATCATGGACAAAAGCAGTATGCTACAAATACGTTTAGAAAGGCCTCTCTATGATCATGAAATGCTGAATCAGAATTATAATTATGAGAAACCAAAGTCATCCTGTAAGTTACAATGAGATACAGATGCACCCTATGCAAAAACATAAATCTATAAACACAAATTGTTTGTTTACAGTGATGCAAAATGCAATAAAAAATGTCAAATCGAAGAACTGGCAGTCTTGTATAGTGTCGACAGTCCCAGTGATAGAATGGCTCAGCCAATACAATTGGAGGGAAAATATGTTACCTGATATTATTTCAGGCCTAACTGTAGCAATTATGCATATACCGCAAGGTATGGCTTATGCGCTTCTTGGAAATCTACCGCCAGTAGTTGGCATATATATGGCCTTTTTTCCTGTCTTCATATATTTTCTTTTCGGCACATCCAAGCACGTATCTATAGGTGAGAATACCAAGCGATATTAACCCTAGCTATACACACTGGGGTCTCAGAAACCCCAGTGTAATTTACTAAATAGAGATTTTTTTTGTTTCTAAACTTCTTTTTCTTGAAACAATATATCTTGACACTCCTTAATTCTATCGACTTTTATACATTATGGACTTGTTTCTCAATGTATACATATATTTTCCATCAATTGAAAAAAATTAATTAAAATATATTTTTACGGAAGTTACGATAACAAATATGAATGGAGTCCCAGAGATCCGAATGTATATATCAAGGAACAAAAGAACAGTGTGTATAGCTAGAGTTAAAAGAATCTACGAAATTTGAGTTGCGTTAGAGATAATATCGAGTTAAAATCAAGTTGCAAAAATATGCACATTTTGCAACCCTCCCGGTTATATACATTTATTTGATTAACTTCCGTTACAGAACAGTTAGAAATAATACATCTTAATATGAACTTATTCAACAACCTTGAACAATGAAACATTCTTGGCACTCATCAGGAACTTTTGCTGTGGTTTGCCTAATGACTGGCAAAGTAGTCACATTTTACTCAAATCCATATGTGGGACACACGTTTGCAAATACTAC